TTTGTGTACAGAAGCTGCTAGCTTGGCATTCCTTGAAGCCAGTCATCAGGTGTGTTGGTGTTGCCGTACCCCGCAACCGCTTAAACTCAGTAGTGTCAAGTGAACCAGGCGCTGTTTCAATTAATCACCGCAGTTTTGCCTCACACGCTAGAGCTTGCTAGAGCAATGTCAGTGTTTCGAGCAGCTGCGAGAAACGAGGTCAAGAATGTGCATGGGAACTTTATGTCTTGTGCCAGGACAAGACCAATTTTAATATAGTATTCCGGAAAGAGATGGGCCTTGATGGACCCATGGCTACTGCTGGGACCATGAGAATGAGACAGCCTAGGTCAGGAACTGTCCATCTTCACTCCTCATGCCTACACCGTCCGCCCGATTGACACCATTGGCTTGCTCTTCGTCGGCTCCTTCTTGGTCACGCGGAAGCCGAGCCTCGACTTTACAAGAACTCTTCAATTCGAGGTCCCCCTGAATGCACCAGATCCGAGCAAAGCCCGTTTGGCCAGCCGAGGAGCTACCTGATCTATGCCATCAACCCCTTTCGCAATGCTGTACTGGCCACCTGAGGGCAAAGCTGGCTGCACCCGTCCGCGATAGGGGTCAGATGGGATCAGTGAGTTGTGCTTACGCTGGATTTTCGTAGAGCGGCCGGGCGACCTGAAGTGCTCAGGTTGCGCTGCAGGAGATGTTCCCTCTCCTGCCGCCTGGTTGAAGTGGTTTGCCATGCCGCCAGAAATACCGCAGCTCACAGTCCTAGGACCTCCGAGAACTCGTGACATGCACGATCTGATAAGCACATTGCGAAGACAATCATGACAGCGAGGAAAGCACCTGCTGTCAGGTCTGAGACACGTGTTAACCCGGAGTATTATCGGAACATTGCCTCGGCCAGTGTGCAGCTGTTGTGCGGGCTGGCAATTCTGCCTCTGGGCTGCAGGCACCCGGCAGTGCCAGAAACATGAGACTTTGTGGAGTGTTCGATCCAACCAGAATACTAGAAGTTATTTCCGAGCTTGGGCTGCTGTAGCTGACAAGGCCGACGCGACGGAAACGCCCGCTAATGTCCGTAAAATACGAATCATATTAGTGCCGGCTCGGTGCCAGTCAGAGACGTTGGGGATCGTTCAAAGTTCGGGGGTCTCTTTCCATATTCTTGCAAAGCTGACAGCGTCCAATTTCCGATGTTCTCGTGGTTGACTTGCTTTAATACGCATCTGAGGGCATTTACGAAACCTCAGCCCATCGGCTCTGGCAAGAGCTGGGCGCTCCAGGTGGAATGTGGGGGAGGGACGGGTGGGGAAGGGGACATGTGTGAGACTCTCGGCACAGCAAAAGGCTCTGGAAGTCCTGCCTGTAGCAAAGCTGGTGCAGAAAGGGTTGCCTTCGTGAGCGCAGGTCCCCTGCTTGGATGCTGCATGCTGCTTGCCACATCGGCGTCCTGGAAGCATTTTGCACGTTGGACACAGGTGATTTATTTCGGCTGCGCAGGTGCTTTCCAGAGGATGTGAACAACAAAGCTGTTGTTGCTCGCCTTGGCGGCCTCAGGTCTCGTTGGCAAAAAGGCGTTGCTTGGGCTTCAGCCTCAGCGAGACGTTGCCGCAGCCATCCCAAGACACTGATCGAGAAGTTGCACTGTGGAAGCAGCTAGCAACAAGATGCGGCAAGTCTTTCAACGTGGGGCAGGGAAACACGAGCAAGAGGTGCAGAACTGTCATCGACGATGCGAGTGCAGAATGGTATATCATGGGGGTATTTCGCGCTTCGCGAACAGTGGTCACTGAAGCTTGTTGATGCGTGCTGAAGGGTTGTTGCTAAAACATGCTGAATGCGCGGCCGGAGCCGCACCGAACCCAGAGTCGGGCGTGTACTCGTTAATTTGCGTTCAGAAATCGCTTTCTTCATATCTCTCTTGCAACGAAGAACGTAACTGCTAGACGACGTGCCGTCAGCCAAACCAGCTGGCCGTACTTGGAAGCAATACTTGGCATAGCTTATAATGCAGACCGACGGGTCGCGGCGGGGTTCGCTGGTGGGAATTCTGAAATGCAAAAGCTGGTAGAAGAAAAGTGACCTGCTGAGACGGTGAACATCCTGCTGCTGCTGACCGCCATCGCAGCAACAGCCATTGCTTTGGAGAGTCTTATCTGTTTTGAAGCTCGAGCACCAGGCAAGAGCAGGTTTACAGCTGAAAGCCGATGTTCCTTTGCAAGTACATAAGGCGGGCACGAGCTTTTGTCAGTGCAGGACCCTCAATATCTGGCAGTGGCCGCAATGCATACGTCTTCCTGACCGATATATAGTAATGTAGTTCTTCCTGCCCACCAGAACTGTAGCTGTTGCTTCCGGAGCATTCGTTCTGGAGAAAACTGGACAAGCCGGCTCGAGGGCGCCCCTGCTAGCTGCTTCCTCAGGAAGCAAAGCGAGGGCTTCACCAATTTCATGTCTGAGGACGGGTTTGCCATTTGCGCGCGGGGCATCCAGGGCTGAAGCCAGTTAGGTCAGGTATTCCAAGGCACAGCTGCACAGCTAAGCCTCAATCGCACCATCAAGGACTACATGAAGACCTTGCCAGGTTGGGTCGGGAGCAACACCCATCTATGTTGCCATGTAGTTTGCATATGCCCTCGGTATGGATACCTCCCGGCAGCACCCTACAGAATTCTGACAGTTGCTGACCATTGCCAGCAGCAAGGACCACGGTCTCAAGATAATTTTCTCTGTCTTGCACCTCGGCATATGCCTATCCCACACAACGGCTGTGCAATGATTGAGTTGAACTATTGCACCATGGCACGTTGCAGTAATCACATCTTCCTTCTTGGTTTCTCAAGAAGGGATGCAACCAGCCAGGAAAAAGGTCAGAATCATTCGGCCCATGCGGCTCGCCAATCATACCTCAGGTTTGCGCAGGTGTTGAGTGAGCAAGCCGTCGTACAGTAGTGGGAGTGTACTACTGAAGGTGTGTCAGCCAAGGCCGAGGCATCACGCTACATGTGGCATACTATGCCGAGTCTCAAGTACCCAGGTTGGGCATCAGTGAAGAGGTCTCCTGGCGCGAGGTGTACATGGCCGACAACAACAATTCTTTGCAGGCCGGATTTGTGAGCTCTGTACCAGGGTATCTGCTACAGATTGCCAATCTAATCTGCGATGATCTGCAAGTGACAGATTCCGGAGAGAAAACACATCTCTGTGGAGTCATGTCTCTGCAGGTGTAGTGCCGTTTCAGATTGACATCTTTACCAAGGCCTTCACTTGGGGCATGAATCACGTCGTGGCAGGCCGGCTGTGTGAGACCAGGTCGAGTGGTTCAGTTCCTCTTCGTAGCTGTTGAGCCGAATGCCCGCCCAGGCACTGGCATGGACAATCCGTTGGTGTACGGCCTTGTAAGTGGGCTTCTTGGTTGCAGGCTACGGCATTTTTTGTGGGCCTGGGTCCAGTTGCTGCATCTTTGACGAGAGTCGGGAGCACATTGTGCATGGCTTTTGAATCCCGCATCTGCTGCAAACTGATCTGTCTTTTTCTGGCTTGATCGTCCACGCTGCAGCCGAGGAGTTACGCCTTCCTTCTGGGAATCACGGATTTCAGATCTCTGCGATATTTCCACCATGCCGCCGTAGAGTACTTCGTCATCGAAGCTCGGAATTGACCTCTAGGGCTCCAGGGAGCCCCTCAGAGTATGTAGGCATGCTTTGCGAGCCGGCTCGAGTGCCAGCACATGTGAAGATGGCTGTGAGGACAACCTTGTCAAGCCAGAAGGTCACGAAGTGTGGTTGACGATGAGCGTTCGCAGACTCTACGGTTTTTTTGCTTGAGCTTTTGTCAGTCGAGATCACTTGGATCTTGCACAGACTGCTTGATCATGGGCTTGTCACATGTCACGGATTCACGTGGCTCGCTGCGCTGCCACCAGCTGATACAAAGGGCTGACATCTTTGCTACCAGCGGTAGGCTTCAGTCAGGACCTCGGAGCCTCCGGAATCCTTGAAGATTCGAAGTTGCTCAGACGTTGCTTATGTTGTGAAGAACTTGAAGATAAGTATCTAAGCTCAGCAGCCAAAGGCAGCAGCTGCAAGAAATGTTTATCAAGCCATCTCCTGCCGCAGAAATGCGCAGCCACAGATGAGGCAACGCAAGAGCCGCACCAGGGGCACAACATGGTACAACTGCAAAGCTGGACGTGAACCTGATTCATTTGTGTCAGCCCATGAGGCGACTGTACAAGAAAGCTCCTGCTGGAGCCGACGTTAATCATTTCCCAAAAGTTCCTCGTCTGTTTTGATCCACGCCATAGCACTACGTGGGAGTTGTTCTGACTAAGATCATTTTTGTTGCGGGGTCCTCCTGCTGCAACAAGTACCGCCAATCCGAGTGTATCACAACTCCTACATCATGGCCTTGTCAACAAAGTTGACCTTGACTTCGGCACTGTGCAACTTGCAGTGCCTTGCCGTAGCAGAAGCTCGGAGGCTCAGTCTCGGTTGGCACGAAAAGTTGTTGATAAAGACTTGCCAGCATCCGTCGCTTCTGGAGTAGACAGGAAATCAAAGTAGCAGCTGCACGTGGGGATGCATCCCGGAGAGATTGCCACCACGTGTTAACCCCATGATGCCGCCGCGAAGCGGCACACATCTGGAGGTCAATTCATTTTTGAACTTGCACGTGTACACAAGGTTTTTGATTCCACACCCAGGCCCAGTGTCCTAAGGTGTGGGCCTTCAGCCCAAAGCTTTACAAACCTTCAAGCCCGTGTAATTAATAAAGCCCCGGGTTCAAAACCTCAAACTTCAATCGCCAACCCCAGTCCGTATGCCGCATATACGCCTTAACAGCAAGCCCACAAGCTTAAGCGCGAAACCGCTGCACCACGCAGACAAAGCATCTTGAAATTGCTAGCGCAAGCCCAAACCCTACCAGTTTCTGTTGGCCTTGCCGTAGCAGTGTTTGGGTGCAGCTGATTTCGGTTCGCAGGGGAGCCACGGCAAGGCAATCTGTGGGGCATGAAGCCCCGTCGAAGTCTAAGAGGCTCAAGCGGTTGTTGCGGTCAGAGAGCTTGGTGCCGAAACCCAAGTTACTATCCGCGGGACATCTGGCTTTGCAGAGAAGAGAAAGAGCGCACACTCGATGGTAAGAGTATGTGTATGTATGGCAGTAGCTGCATCGTCAGCCACACACGTTCGAATCCAATTTGCCGCTTTTCAGGAGTACAGAGCTCAAGAGGCATTGGTGGTGCAGACGGACGGATCAGTGCAGCTTGAGATGAAGGACGTGGGTGATTTGTGTGACGGATTTGCCAAGTCTGTGAATGCAAATTCCCTGTTACGTTACAGTGTCTCCCATGTGACCGCAAACTATGGCATAACGCAGTGTGGCATGGGTAAAGTATGTACACAGGCAAAGAGAAAGGGCAAGTCTATGTTTGAGTGATTCCGCGTACGTTGTTTAGTTCTGCATATGCATGAATATGCAGGTATATAAAGCGAGAAAGAAGGGTACATGGCTTGTCAGTAATGAGAGAAAGGCCCGAGCATGGGGGGAGAGGGGTCAAAAAAGAATTTGAAAGAGATCAAAAAAATTAAAAAGGATCAAAAAACAATTTAAAAAGAATCAAAAACATATTTACGACTTACAAGGCAATTGGTTGCTTTCCTGGCTTAGTGGCTTCCGGCTTCACGGCTTCCTAGCTTTTCGGCTTCCCAGCTTGTCGGCTTCGCGGCTTCTTGGCTTCCCGCTTCTCGGCTTCTTGGCTTCGCGGCTTCTCGGCTTCGCGGCTTCTCGGCTTCTTGGCTTCTGGGCTTCTCGGCTTCTCGGCTTCTGGGCTTCTTGGTCACATGTGTACTATGACTATGGGTTGTCAGCTTCCTGGCTTCTTGGCTTCGCGGATTCGCGGCTTCTGCCCTTCTTCGCTTCTCGGTTTCTTGGCTATTTCTTGGCTTCTTGGTAATATGTGTGTACTATTACTATTATAACCATTTTGCTTATCATTCTCATGATTCTTCCTAGTATCACTCCCAGGACTATCATTTCTATTATTCTGACTAGTCTTATCATCATTGCATGTATGAAGATTGATGAAGAAAGATGAATATAGCTGACTATATACATATATATATATATACATATGTATTCTCTCTGTGAGATGAACCTTAAACCACCCAAGCATCATCATCATCGTCATCCTCATCAGGTTCCGTGTACGTTGCAGTGGGACAGAAGTTCGCTCAACAGCATGTTCTAAAAATTGTGTTAAAACCTGCATTTTGTACACTGGAACCAGATAACACTAACAGGCGCCAGGAAGCGCGCAACCCTAATAGTACTAGTAGTAGTAGTAGTAGTAGTAGTAGTAGTAGTAATACTAAATGCATCAAAAAAATTAGGCTCGGCCGCTCCAAAAAAATCTAAAAAGCGTCAAAAAAAATTACGCTTGGGGGATTTGCTGCCGTGTGAAAGCTAGCCGTGGCTGCATGGGCAGAAACAGCCTTATGGTTGCCAGGAATGAGCCGAATGACCCTGACGCTGTGGCAAGTTGCTGCTTGCGTTCTCGAAAGGGTCCAACACATGGACCACTGCAGGCTTAAATCGAGGAATAGCACCAGTACGCGAAAGGAAATTAGAACATTTCTGTAAGTGCGATTTCAATAGTAGTTCCGACCCAGGACTATTGAAATCGCACTTACAGAAAATGTTCTAATTTCCTTTCGCGTACTGGTGCTATTCCTGGATTTAAGCCTGCAGTGGTCCATGTGTTGGACCCTTTCGAGAACGCAAGCAGCAACTTGCCACAGCGTCAGGGTCATGCGGCTCATTCCTGGCAACCATAAGGCTGTTTCTGCGCATGCAGCCACGGCTAGCTTTCTTTTCGATCCTTTTTAATTTTTTTTGAGAGGCTGAGCCTAAATTTTTTTGATCCATTTTAAATTTTTTTGGATCCTCCATCCAGCATGGGGCGGGGCATAGCTGAGACAGTGGCAAAGCCTTCAGCATGATGTGTGCTAGCTTCTTGCTGTTCCATTCAGCCGAGTAGCAGCGCAGAGAGATGCTTGCGTATACACACATCAAAACACGGCGCTGCAAGAACAAGGGTGGGCATTCTCGGAGGGGCGGGTAGGAGGGCGGGTAACCCCTCTAGACCTACAGAGACAAGAAAGAGAACTAGCTCGTTCCAACGCAGAACCTTGCCAGAGGCGGGATGGACAACCACGCCTGTGAAGGCGCAGTTCCAAGGACCAGTGCACGGGAACACGCGAGGAGTGGGGGGATTACCCCATCCCCCGACTCTGTTGAAGAAGTCAGATAAACTTGTTTTGCATGTCTCTTGCGCCTACCCGAAACAGGAAAGCTGGATTGATTTTCTCGGATGGTACTTGTATACGGTACTTCTATGCAAAGCGACGGAGGGAGAGAGAGAGAGAGAGAGAGAGCCCGGGTGCATAATATGCCATCTTGACATCGCATTGTTCTAGGGGTTGCAATACAGACAGTCGCGCATAGCAGGGGAAGCAATGTCCTGGAGAGCATACGTACTCCCTCGCCCGCTACCGTATCATACTTACTTCACGTTATTGGGAGTACTAT